TTCGCTTTTAACATTTTCATGGTGGAGAAAATGTAAAGCAGCAGACGAGATGAGAATTACATTTTTTTTTAAAATCCTTGAGAGCAAAGAAAATAAATGGGTTTGTACTAACTAGTAACAAATTAACAAATATATGATGTGAAGCTTTCACGGCGGCTTTCATTAATAAAGTCTTCTCGAAACGTCGGCGATTAATCACCATCTAACACGGCTGATAGCCCGAGAAGACTTTATGAAATTAACAAATACTATCGCGGGCCGGATCCGGCCCGCGGGTCGCCAGTTTGACCAACTGCTATAGAGCATCCTAAGTAGATGTGACGCAATCATGTGGCAGTGACTTACAATTCAAAACATGCGACCCGCAAAGTAAAGTAACAATAGTGAAACGAAGACACTGATTACTGTCGTGAAGTGGCAATCAAGAATCTGAAGCCGGAACATGCATACGAATGACGAATGAAGGTACAATCCCGAAGACGTGTTCTTGAATCCCCAGTGTTGCAAACTTAAGAACGTGAAGTGACGTGAGAAACAGGTACACTTGCACTGAATTTTCATGAAGTACTATGTAGCGCCTCTACAGTTTCAACAAGATGTGGTGCACTATCATCATAATGAGAAGGATATCTGAAAACACATCTGCAGCTTATACTAAGGGTTACGTATTGTTTAATAAAACATGTTAAAACATGAAAATTGAAGCACGGCCCTCTAAAAGATTTCCTGAGGAGAAGCCGGGAAACTCTTACAAAGATCCACAATTAAATGTCAAAGACAGACGCAAGATAAAGTAAAATGTGGGAAGCAAAACTCATTAGCGAACGACGAAAGTATCGATTCTCCAGACAGGGGATCAAAGAAGAAGAATGGACAGCAAATTCTGCCCTGAAAGATGTGCCAAAATTCAAATATAATAAAAACTTTTAAATACGCACATTGTGACAATGGTCTTTGTAGACTAGAAACCTAACCAAAATATTTAACCACAAAATCCTTGCTGAGGGCATTTAGCTGTGTATTAGCTGTAATACACTTTCATGTATTTAATATCCGCTTATGTTATTGTGCTATTCTTTTTCGCATTTCCACTATATGTTTTGGTCTAAACTATATCATCCCCAGGAGGCTCGTAAGGTTTTTATTGAAATGTGCGCGGTTTATGATATATTGATATTTGAATTATAAAATATAAAACAAATATATAACATACTGTAAATTAGGTCTGTAATTAAAACAAGGTTTAAAACTGTTTAAACGCATTTTGTTACATCTCCTTATCTAACAATAAAATTACATCACATAAAATAGGGAAGTAAGCAAGGCACACCATTATCAGCACCATAATTGTCATTGAAGGCGATACATTAAAATGATAATTATTATATTTAATTTTCTCAATGCGATGAGTAGGAAGAAGGCTGTCTTCTGGGTTTTCGCCCCGTGTAATCTGGTAGAAGTTTACCGATATTTCAGATGTCCTTGCTGCCTCCATCATCAGAGACCTGATGATAAAGGCAGCAAGGACCTCTGAAACGTTGGTAAACTTTTACCAGACTACAACGGCGCAACAACCCAGAAAAGCGTCTCCTTCACCTCAGCATTTATCTAGCTGTCTAACTAATTAATCATATTTACAGATTCGTATATCGATGGTGCTGAAAATTGAACTACAGTAGCTACTATTAGCTTGTCTTGTCTCATCCACAGGAAAGACAAGTAACGGATCGCATATTTGTCATAATTACAATCCGAATCTGCAACACATCAAGCGAATCATGACATAAAAACAATACAGCTTAATAAAGTGAACAATTTACGTATTTATCGAGCGTCTGTTGTTTGCTTAATTAAAATAATAATTTATCTTATCACAGTTTATAGTAACTACATTCAAAATGTCTTGTAGGCATAATAGTATACAAATGTTTTCCGTATCACTTTGCATTCTATCAAAATTAAGCTTAACCTTCCAGATGACACTACTTTTAAACTAAGTCTATGGGGCCGAGTCCTACTTAAGAAGCTGACAGTCCATCAGTTTGTCGGGAAATTCGACGCTTTTTATGAAACCTGGCGGTTGATTGTCGTGTTCACAAGAACCACCTAAGGCCACGTGTAATATTTAGTAACTATAATTTTTTATAGCGAGGTGACTGCTCTCGTCGAAGCCTCACGCAGTTGGGGTATTCCTTGTCAGCTCTCCGTTACTACCGCAGTTACCCCCCCCCCCCCCCCCCCCCCGCTCTATTTATTCTCCCGCAACCTAACAACATGCATATCGTCATAACAAGGAACACGCTGGCTTAATATGTCAATTACTGTTAAGGGAGAAGAAATAGAAGGCCTATATAACATGCCAAGACTTTATTAATGTCATCAGAAACTTTTGTTTTAAATGCGTTGTTTAATTATAGTGTAATTGGAATAAATCCCTTAATTATGGAAAAGTATATGGTTGTTAAAATTATGTAAGGCTTACAATAAAAGTTAAGTTTTAGTATTCCTGGCTAACAGGACAATTCTTCTATTCTAAATTCACCTTAGTATCTGAAGAACGATTTATGGGAGGACTCAGCCTAACAAACACGTAAGTCTTACTATGTTTTACTTCCAGTTATCTTGCAGATTTATCCCCCCCCCCGTATTCTCCTCTTTTAATAAACGTTATGGAAAGCCAAATAATAACGCACCTGCGGCTTTATTAAGCGACACTAATGTCAGGAACATTGAATGCACAATTTCACAACCACTCAGTCCCTACTAGCAGCAGGATAGACTTGTGCAAAATTAAACTAGTTATGGCGACTGCGCGTCTAGTATGTCAACCGTTTATCTAATTTGTTGTCAGCTTTCCTAGTTACACTATCGTTACGCCATTGTCTAGCCATAATATTACAACTTGATGAATAGAGAATGGGTGGGAAACTTGGTCTCTGGCTTTGACGGAGGAACATAGCCTGAGGGTTTTTGAGAACAGAACGCTGAGGAAGATATTTGAACTTGGACTTAAAAGGGGGGCATGGAGCATGGAGAAAACTGCATGATAATGAGCTTCACGGCCTGTACTCCTCACCTGATACTGTCAGTGTGATTACATCGAGGAGAATGAAGTGGGCAGGACATGCGGCACGCATGGGGGTGGAGAGGGGTGTTTCAGGGTACTGGTTGGGAGACCTAAAGGGAGGAGACCGCTGAGAAGACTAGGCGTCGATGGGAGGACAACGTTAAGAAGGACCTTAGGGAGACAGGAATCGATGGAGCGAACTGGATGCAGCAGGATCAGGATAGAGTCCGGTGGCGGGCTTTTGTGAAGATGTTGATGAAACTTCGGGTTCAATGAAGTTACTGGACTATTCTTTGAAAATCCGATTATACAATCGACTTTTCAAAGATTATCCTGCACCACGGAGCGAGTGAGTGATGCCTGCAGACAGGAAGGAGAGACCAGAAGATTTACTCTGCAGCTACAAAAGGGCGTTGTTCAAGCATAACGTAATTGCTAACTTTGCTAACAAGGTTTTAGTACAAGAATTCAGTTAACTCACATGTAAAGACTTGAAAAAACGTATTATGTTAAAAACGAATTATTACAGGAATGGCAGAATAATAAACATAATATATTCGTGTACGAACTCTGAAAAGGGATTTATCATATTGAACAACTTCGTCAGACGAAGTTTTAAGCTTTATGACGATGATGCGATACATTGTGTTAAAGTCTTATTTTCTCTTTTGGACTTTGTCCATAGTCTAACAGTTTTTTAAACCGCAACGGTTCGGAAGTTGGTTTTACTTCCTTCTTCGGGTGAAAGCTGACAAATCCTTATATGCTGGCCCCCTAGTGGAGCTAGTCTCAAGCTGCCTCACATTTGGAACTTCAAGTACCCCGAAGTAAGTTCGACCACTTCCCTATTCCGAAATTCAACATTTATAATTTCGTCCTTGTCTTACTTGATATTTCAGAGTTCCGAAAGTTAATGCGGTCTCATTAAGTAGCCAAATAATAGAAAATTACGATACAATTAATCTTAACGTCTGTCGAAATTTAATTCTAAAATTGTGCAAGAGAAGCTGTTCTGAATAACGGTACAGTGTTTGTGTGCAATGTTTATTTAAAGTTCTGAAGATGTTACAGACACCTCAGACGTAAGTTGTAAAAAAAAAAAATTCGTCTGTTGTCATAGTACAAATTAACCAAAATAATTACTCTGTGGGAATAATTAATCTGAAGAAAGCAGCAAAATTGAAAACTAAATTAAGCCATCATTACCAACTAAATGTTTAAAAAGAGTTTTCAATTCTGAGCGGTATATAAATTATGGTGACTTCGCAATGAAATCCTGAATTATGAATTTCATTAAGTAATGGACCCACACAACGCAATGTGTGAACACAAATTAATGAACTAATTTGTATGCGGCTCTATCATTTAACTTTTGAATAGAAAATGAATATTGATTTCAAACGTACACATATATATATATTTATGAAAATGTATATTTTGAATTAATAAGCTAAAGTCATACATATGACGATAAATACGTAATGTGCAGATGAGTAATTTGTTGGACAAATGAACAACGCGTCGGCATAAAAATGCAGAACATGATGAATATGAATCATTGTCTCATCACGGTTTCCATTTTAATTATCTTCTCTAAGAAAGGTGAAATCATTATAACGACTTGCATACTCTTATTCTAAATGATGTCCAAATATCACACAAATCATTTAATTAATATGTCAAGATATGCGAACAGGACCCGCATGGGCGACCATATGGTAATCATTCGGCTTGCATAATGGTAAAAAGCCACGAATAAATTTTATAGAATCCTTTTTTATGTAAATTTACTACTTCAGTGATCTAAGTCACGGAATCCATATGAAAATAATAAACATTCATCCGTGTTGTATATTAAACTGGATGAAAGGCCTCTTTTGGTTATACGTTAGACTGGTGCTGTACATGTACTTGTAACAAGTGTCTTTCTTACCTGCTTTACGGCCGAGTTCTTGGTCGTCCACAGCAATCTGTAATAAAGATGCCACAGTGTAACTACGAGTTTAATTAGTAATAACTTCACATAAAAAGTTAACAGTAAACACGGCATATATACACAACTATTTCTTAAAACATTTACAGCGATCTGTAATAAGTAACGAAAATTATGTAAAAATATTTAGACCTATGGCGTTGCTGCCTTCAGATATTCTAATCTACATAGAATTAATGATAGTAGAAGTCCCCAATACCTAAGAGTTGCTTGATACAATCTGAAACATTTGATACCGTCGTCATTTTAACAGCTTTTAAAATACGTATTAAAAAATGTGTGCCATTTCAGGTTCCGACGATGGCGAGTACAATATGCCTGTCTTCTGGGATGTTGAGCCGTGTAGTCTTATAGAAATGGCAGACATATGAGAGGTGCTTAAAGCCTTCATGATCGGAATTATAAGCACCCCTTTGATGGGGGCTGAAAGAACCTCTGAAAAGTCAGTCAATTTCTATTGGACTACAATTTGTTTCTTAAAAGATTTACAGATTTGTTTAAATTTAGTAAGATTTAATAATAACATAAAGGACGTTATATAAAAGTTAATACACTATGGTATATACCAACTACTTCTTAAAAATAATTCCAAACGATAGTAGTAACGTTCTATTGTCGTAAACTTCAAGGTTTAGCAACAATTAATGTATTGTAATACGCTAACTAATATGTCATTGTTGCACTCATTCCTTTCTTTTTGACCGATCTAAATTTTGGGACAAATTTTCTGTATTAAATTTTAAACGAGATTCAACGCCTTATTAAAGTCAAATCGTGAAGAAAATTTAAAATGGCCTTGATATTTAAACAGACCATTTAATAACCCCCAATGCGATTGCGTATACATCTTATGTGTGTCAAAATTAAGGTCTGCATAAGAATGACAAGCGGGCGTTTTATGACACCGCACGACATACGTCTAGTTACACGGCGCAGAGAATAACGTTACGTGGCTGTCGTATTTCTAGAAATATATTTGGTTTTCTAATAGGGTTACCCGATTGTGAGGAGTGCCATTTTCTAAACATCTGGTCACCTTCCTTTCTTTTTGGACCTTACAAATTTAATGCTTGGAGCAATATTAAAAAAATATTATTTTAATTAATTAGACAAAGTAATACCTTACAAATATCTATATTCTTTTGTCTTTGTATTACTTTTTGTCCGGTGAATTTATAATTGTTTCATAACAACTTCAGCTACCTGCCTTCATACGTTCTATAAACACGGGTTCTCCCATCTTACGTTATGTTATATGTTGTAAACCGATGAGTCCCTGGAATTTAAGTATTACTTCTCTCGTCTCATCATGTATTATTTGCATCCGTCAGCTCAGATCCACGTCTCGTGTAGTACCTTATAACTGTTTTTGTATTACAGCAAATACCCATTCTTCAATGTTATAATTCAGAAGAGACTCAACGCTACTCAAAGTAAGAGGCAATTCATTGTCCCCACGTTTTATGGTCTTTCCCTCTTCAACCTACGCATCATCTAGAGTTGAAAAAACATAACCGAACTTACAGGTTCATCTTTATAATGAAAACACCCATATTAAGAAAATATACGGTTACGAGAATACAAATGGCGTGTCTTTGATCGGACAATTGAGTTACTAAATTTTGGATACAGTATAAACATTTGTCTTTAATTTTACAGAAAGACTAATGCCATTCTGAAGTTACGATTCCACAAACAGAGATCAATAGTGACCTTTAGTTTTTAGCAGATCTTCCAAAGCCAACAGACAAGTCAGCGGACCACGGCATAGCCAGAATGTATGTATTACGTGCATCCAAAGTAACAGACCTATGACAAGATACGAGTGTGGTTATATGAATAAGAATGGCGAATTGATAGCAACGTCGGAGAAAGCTGTTGTATTGTGTATTACGATATAATTCCAGCGTCATACTGGACAGATTGTGAAAATTACGAACGTCTGTCTCAGGGTAGCCAGTTCCTTGAGGAAATTCGATCTGGGTAATTACAAAATTAATTTTAAGTTACTATCCTCTTTAAAGGTAATGGGTAATTACTCATTTATGAGCAGGAAATTATATCAGGGAAAATCGGTACTGAAAACTATACAGAGTTATTATAAATGCTCTTCGCACTATTAAAATGTTTCTAAAATGTAAGTTGTGCCAAATAATAAAATTTGTAGAGCATGAAAAAGCACTCCCAGAGTTCTGATTGCGTACAGCGACGTATCTGATATAAATGTAAGCACCACTGGTGTTTCTACAAACGTCAGTCTCATTCCATTAGACAACATTTGCATGTCAATTAGTTTACTTCAATTTAAAATGATTCTTGATAATATTCAACACCGTCAGTTGAGGAATAGCGGGTTCTGGGCTGACACGTAATGCCGGTTTTCGCGAGATGTGCACTAACGTTTGCCGCATTGTGTCCACAGTCGTTTCAGAAACAAGCTGGCGCCCTGAAGTGCAGCATTTTGAGAGACAACTATTCTGTGTAAACTGCCTGTACAAAGCGCAAATATACGCTCTGGTATGTGGGTTCAGCCCAAACTCCCTTCAAACCATCTCTGCACGGTCGCCACTGATTTGATTTCGTGAAACCACATCACACACTTAGCTATCTGGACTTGCAGGGCATCATACAAGCAACTGAAGTACGCTTGTGCAACGCTTCAAATGATGTTATACAGAGTGATTCAAAAGGTTAGGGACAAACTGAAGGAGCGTATAGAGGGACTCAGAGAGAACAACATTCGAATAGGAATCCATGTCCTCCGAAGTTATCCTGAGTCAGTCGAGGCCATTGAAAGTTGTTCTCTCTGAGTCCCTCTATACGCTCCTTCAGTTTGGCCCTAACCTTTTGAATCACCTGTATATGTCTTATAAATTTCATTATTGTTAATAACTTACTTGTTTTCAATACAGTTTTAGACGTGTAAAGATCATTTATTATCACTGTTTCTTGAAGAATAAAAGACTTATCACCGAGAACTACGGCTTTACGAACATCACGTGCTTCCTTCGTAACTGAGGAAGAGCATTTAGTGAGGCAGCAGTATTTGAATCTGCCAGCTGAAGAATGTCTCCATCATTCTCTGGAAGGCAAGACGTCTCCACTGCGTGTTCCGGACAGATAAGCAACGGAATATTAGTGTGCCCCCCTACCTCACCCATCAGATTAAAATTCTCCGAGAGTACTCAATTACCCCAGATGGCTGCAAGAGGTTTGCTACGCCCGTCTAATTTTGACAGCTTCGTAACTGGAGCGCCTAGATTTATTGAAGCTTTTGGATTGCTCATTTTGTTACTTAACTTTGCGTGTTGAATTCATTGCACGGGGTTAACTCGTTGCCACCATTTTACTTCATATTGACGTACTTTTCGCTTTGATAGTTTAATCTCAGTCCTTTCGTAGTCTCAATGATTTAATTATTTTTGTAAATTAAATTTACTCCGTGCCCATCTAGGGAACTTGACCAATAAGGCAAACGGTTTTTAGATTTTATAATTCATTTAATTAAAGTAAATAACTACATTTATTACTGATAAAGGTCTAGTGGAAGAAACAGGGTTTATGTATCGTTTAAAGTATAATATTAAAATAGGCCTACACTCAAATGTGACGACCACTTTTACTGCACACACTTGTCTGCTTTATCCTGACACTGTGTACCATGTTCATCTTTATGGTAAATTAAGATACACTAATTAAATGCTCTTATACAGAAACACAGCACCACTAAAGTACACATTTACACAATTCTAGATTTCATATAAAGGCGAGTATGTCATTTCTTTTCTGAAGAACTTCAACATTTTAACACAAAGCCAGTAAATTTTATTTACTTCAAATATTAAAATGACTCGGTTTAATTTGCCTTCAGTATCCGTTCACGCCATTTCTTATTTTCATGTGCTTCTTCTCGGGTGTGCTTAAGTTACGACTTAATTATTTTCAAACGCCAATAACAGCTCTTTTCCAGAGTTCTAATAATACGGTAGATTCAAGACTATTCGGTCGTAAAGTCCCAAATTGAATGTTTAATATAATCTTGTCGTAGACACGATACGAGTAAATCTCTTAGAGATGAGTCATTTTATTATTATGTACGCCCGATGACTTGCCAAGTTTGGATGAAAGTGAAGATCTTTGCTGTGAAAATAACGTGATTTACGCGAAATCCAATTTTCGCAAGAAACACCCGCAATCCAGTCGCTACAACTTTAACAATCTCATCCAAGCCAAGTGCCAGAGTTCTTCATTGTAATTCCACAACGAGGCTCATTTCATCACGCTCGAACACTGAGGCAACTCCTTAACTAAATTCCTTTTCATCGTTAAGACAGTTTTAATTGGGATTTAGACGCCAGGAGAGCATCAATTGTAGCGCAACAGAGGCATTCTTAGACAGAAAGAAGGAAATCGTATTTCGGCGGCTTTATTAAGCGTAATAGTACACACATTTTTGTGGTTTATTTAACGACGGTGCCAGCAACTCAGACTAAATAGTGTCAAATGATCGGATCATTTTGTGCAACGAATTGAAAATGATATGGAAGAAAGAGATGTGGCATAAATTATGGCACTGTACCAGAACATGGCTTTTGGTATTGAGGAAAACCACGACATATCTCAGTGTTATATCCGTTATCCAGACTATTTGAATCTGGAATCTCCCAAATACATGGATACATAGGAATTCGGGAATTTCTTACCACAGCCCCTTCAGAATATCACAAATGTGTACGCAAGATCATTATGTAGGGTAAGAGGAAAAACATGCCATGACTACATTAGTTTCAGTAAGTTTTTGTGTTGACGGCACACAGACGACAGTTCAGTAGCGCGATGATACTGGAGACGCTGGTTGTGACGTTCCTCATACTAGCCTTGGGAGTTAAAATGTCGCTCTGACAAGAGAACAGGTGTGCACCGGAGAACATAACATGGCTGAACATTCGGGCACACCTGACGCAGGGTTACAATTTA